TGGGGGGGGGGGGCAGATCTAGAGTTCGATGGCGTGTCTGGGGTGTTGCCCCGGTCTGATTCGTTCAACGGTAATGGTTTCGTCTTTGGCAAGCCACTTTGAAGGTCCGCAAAGCTGCAAACAGGGGATTCCATCCAGTGAATATGAAGGGGATACATACCTCTGGTGTAGCCGAGGCAGGCAAAATTGGACGGTTCGGCAGATGGTCTTGTTCCTCCGGCAAACTCGACGGCGACATTGTATGTTGCGTCAAAAAGCAATTTGGACAGGCTTTGATGGAGCTTATGGTCCAAGGTCGCAATCTGATGGAGATTCCGGCCGAGGACCGCTCCTTCTTATAGCAAGCAACTCAAATCCGGGTCGGGCACTCCATTGCTTGGTGTTGGACAAGGACACGGCCTCCGATTGTTCATCCAATTAAATCACGACACAGGAGCAGCTCGTCGGAGATTGAGAAGGATATGACGGAGGAGGCCAGAGAGGACTGGCGGCGGCAGACAGGTCAGAGCGAAGCGGAGGCCGGAGAGGATTGGCGGCGGCAGGTCACAGCGAAGCGTGCCCGCGGCCGGCGTACCCACCAGAAAATGTTCCCCCTTCTGTCCTCCATCAAGCGCAACAAGGATGGCCGTCCGGCGACAAGGGCACCACCCATGAACCTCTCCTGCTCCGCTAGCACCGCCCCTGAACCTCTCCTGCTCCGTCGCGCAGCGCCTGAACTTCTCCTGCTCCGCTGCGGCTGGATAGGAAGCGGGAGACGGTTGTAGCTGTCCGGCCACAAGGGCTCGACCAGCTTCTCCTGCTCCGCCGCGCGCCCCTTCTACTGCTGCTCCGCCGCGTGCCCCTTCTACTGCTGCTTCGCCCGCACCTCACCTTCTCTTGTCCGCCGCGTCTGGAAAGGAAGAGATTGTGTTTGGATAAAACACAGTTTTTTTAACGATCCATCATTAGTAAAAGAAGGACTGTGAGTTGTATTACTGAAAAACACAAGGGGGTTTTAGCAAAGAGTGCGACGATGGTGAGCGGGCAGAAGCGATAATCGCTTTATTATTAGGGAAAGATATTCTTTTAGGCTTAAATGGGCTGTTAGTTTTTCCTCTACTAGAATATTCACCGCGCCAAGTAAATTATAATCATGTGTTGTAAACAATATAAATACAAATAAAATAGAATAAATTATAAATAATATTCAAGTATAAATTTAAAGAACATACATATAATTAAATTACAAAATTATTCACATAACAATTTGCATATTTAAAAAATGGTAATGAAATTTTAATTTCTCTATATTTAAATAAATCTTCATGTAAGTTTAAATATGTTCATGGTTTTAATTAATTAATCATGTGGTGTACAAATGTGTTCAAGCTTTAAGAATATGTTTGTTTTAAAATGTGTTCATCTGTTTTAATAAAGTTTGTGTGTGTTTCTGAAAAAGTATATGTCTATATAATAAAAATAAATAGAAAAGTAAATAAATATGTTTTCCAAATAATATGTGATTCTTTTAAAATAAAACTAGGTATAAATTGTTATAATTATGGTGCTATTTTGAAGCACAAGTGTGGTAAAAGGATAGTAACATTGTCTCCTTCTCTCTTTTTCTCTCTTTTTTTTTGTTTTTTGGGGCCTTTTCTTTTTTTTGCCTCTTTTTTTACATATTTTTTATTTTGCGTCTGGAGTCTTATCCCAACTTGTGGGGGAATCATAGTCTCCATCATCATTTCCTCACTCAGACAATGCTCTAATAATGAAGATCATCACACTTTTATTTACTTACAACTCAAGAATTACAACTCGGTACTTAAAACAAAATATGACTCTATATGAATGCCTCCGGCGGTGTACCGGGATGTGCAACGATTCAAGAGTGACATGTATGAAAATATTATGAAAGGTGGCTTTGCCACAAATACGATGTCAACTACATGATCATGCGAAGCAATATGACAATGATGAAGCGTGTCATAATAAACGGAACGGTGAAAAGTTGCATGGCAATATATCTCGGAATGGCTATGGAAATGCCATAATAGGTAGGTATCGTGGCTGTTTTGAGGAATATAATGGTGGGTGTTATGGCACCGGCGAAAGTTACGTGGCACAAGAGAGGCTAGCGATGGTGGAAGGGTGAGAATGCGTATATCCATGGACTCAACATTAGTCATAAAGAACTCACATACTTATTGCAAAAATCTACAAGTCATCAAACAAAGTACTACACGCATTCTCCTAGGGGAAGGGTTGGTAGGAGTTAACCATCGCGCGATCCCGACCTCCACACATAAGGAAGACAATCAATAAATAAATCATGCTCCAACTTCATCACATAACGGTTCACCATACGTGCATGCTACGGGAATCAGAAACTTCAACACAAGTATCTCTCAAATTCACAACTACTCCACTAGCGCGACTCTAATATCACCATCTTCATATCTCAAAACAATAAGGAATCAAACTTCTCATAGTATTCAATGCACTTTATATGAAAGTTTTTATTATATCCCTCTTGGATGCCCATCATATTAGGACTAAATTCATAACCAAAGCAAATTATCATGCTGTTTAAGACTCTCAAAGTAATATAAGTGAAGCATGAGAGTTCATCTATTTCTTTCAAAAT